TCAACAAACTATAAGGCATTTTGGAGAAAGTCTCGACGAATGCATTGTTGTTGGCTGCAAGTAGCAGCTTGTATAAGGACGGAAGGCGCAATTCATCAAGAATTTTCAGACGAAAAAGCGCTGGCGGTATCTATAGATGTTGGACATAACAAGTACAAAAGGAAGTAAAAAAGAGCAGCAAAAGGCCAAAACGCCAATATTTATCCGTGCTACGACAAATTGCTCTCCGCGAAAAAAAATGCTATCCAAGCGGCATCACAGTCACGGACTATTATGCTGAAGTGCCTCTACAAAGTTTGGTGGACCATACTATAAAACGGATCATGGATGCAAGCCCTCAAACTTATCAAATTGAGAATAACAATATAATTAATTTAACAGCGGTTTACAAATGGGGTTGTGTTGGAAGCAGCGGGCATTTAACTTATAGACAAGAGTTAAATGTTTGCGATGGTCCTATGGAAAAACAATCGACCTTCTTCCTCGCGGTAAAGTCGTCCAATCGCCGGTACTAGAAATACTAACAATGGAAACACTGCACGAAGATTTTTTCAGCAACCAAATTAAAATGCGCGCATAACAGGAGTACACCAAATGTTAATATTTCGATTTAGCGTTGTCCTGCGAGCATTGGCCTGTGGACATTACTTAAACACGGATGCATTCGGATCGTACGCTATGGAAAGTGCAGAAATTTTTGTAACGAAATACCCTTACTTTTCCCTTACCTTACCTAAATACCCTTACTGTTCACAGAATTTTAATTCATGGAGCAGAAATCACAAAACAGTTTTTTTCTTCCAATGGGTATGATGTCAGAGGAAGCGCTTGAAGCAAGAAATAAAGATTATCGAAACATACGAGAGAATAATATAACAACATACAACCAATACATACAACCAACACTTTGTTGTTGGAGTGCCGAAAACTTTTCACTGCAAGAAATTCATTCTCTTTTTTGTTTCCGCCAAAATGGTTGACCTAAAGCAATAAATTTATTCTTCGCAGAACATTTTTTAAGTAAGAAGCTCCGCATTATTTGTCATAGTATAATAATAAGTTGTTGTACAAAATATAGGGTCTTGTTTTAGTTGCTATAATAAAATGTATTTTTTATTATATTGATTTTTTTAAACTCTTTTAATTTTTCAGTGTACCCAAATGGATGGGAAATCCCATGAATCCCAAAACTCTAGAATCTATAAAACTCTTTCCAAAGGCGTAGAGGGTCAAGCGAACAGGTGCAGAAAGATTGAGACGGATGAAAGAGCTTAGCAGTCAAATGCATTTAAATATAGGAGCACACCATTGACGAAAAAATAAGAAAGGGACAGCTTATACATAGACAAGCATAGACAAAGAACACTGGGACACTGGAAAGGGGACACTGCTATAACGATCCGGACAGCTACAACTGCATGGAAAAGAGATGAGCAAGCAGACCAGAGATCGGCACAATGGACCTAAACCGCTGCCGCTATAACTAAATATATCCAATAATACAACAGCTTAGAAGGCTTTTTCGCTTCGCTTTTGGTCTCCGCTTCTATTTGTTCGATTTCGTTTGGCCGGATGACGGTGTAGTTGGCAAATGGAAAGTTTCTAATTGAATTAGTGGCAAGGCAAATAAATTCGAGGCACCGTTTAGCCGGAAGCCAATTTGGAGATGAGTAGCGAATGTTTCAGCTATTTCTTCGTCACTGCAACCCCAGCATCTCGAGGAGTTTCTTATTGGGAAGGTCGTTGCGATTGTAGCGCTTAAATTGTAGTGGGCCGTGTAGACCCATATAGGATAGATGAAAGATTCTGAATGTACCGCAGCTGTGAAATTTCTGCCTGTTGCTAAAGAGTCTGGTCGAATGATCGAGTAACGAGACGTTGCTTCGAGGCTGGTAATCTGCTGGTATGGCAATCACGACGCCAGTGTCAGTATTTGTTGGCTCTACTTCCATTCCTTGCGGAGTAGAGACTTGAGCTGCCGCAACGAGTACTTCTTCCAGGGCGCTCCAAGAAGTTACATTCTTCTTGCATTTAAGCCAGTTTGTTTTGGCGATGTCAAGCAGAAGAGTGTTCGGTTATTTGGGGCTTTGCAGAAGCGTTTCTAACATAGGATAGTGGTCTGAACATAATTCTTAGACCACTTTAGCACTTTTAGATTGCGAGATATGTTTGTTGTCACCACAAGATCAATAAGGTCTGGTAACTTTCGTGGGTCGGTTATTTCTGGGCTTTGAATAAGGCTGTAAAGCACAGACGAAAAGTCTGAAGATAATTCCGAGACCTCTAACACTTATTAGCTTGCGAGATATGTTTTTTGTCGCCACAAGATCAATAAGGTCTGGGAGCTTTCGTGGGTCGGCTGGCCAATATGTAGGGCTTTCAGGAGAAACACAGTACAGTTTATTTGTAAAACTTTTATTATTACATTATACATTTGCCTTCTTTTGGGAGCCACGAGATGCCATCTTCAGTGCGTTTGCTCTGCTATTATTCTCCTGCGGCTATAAAAACATCCTCAAGTGATTGTAAGATCCTCCGAGGTTGTAAAGGTAGTAAGAAAGGCAGTGAACGCCTATAAAAAGAGACAGGCAGTAAATGGTGGCGAATAAAAAGGCTTCCGTTCCTTTATTGAATTTATATCGAAGTGGCCTGCAAAAAGTTTGTTGCAAACCTTTTGTTAAAATTGTGTTTAAAGCAATAAGTCCATTAGGCTGCTAGGCTGTTATTGTTATAAGCCTGTTAGGCTTAATGTAGCTCTAGGAAAAACATAGCATAGGAAAAACCGTCAGTGATGTTATGACCAGATGAGGACCCTGCAGCTTTGGCGAAGAAGACGTCTGGCATTGTTTTTGGTGCCGTGAACTTTAACTACAAGTAGTTTAACTACAGTCTCTATAGTTCGCCGTACGGTTCTCCTTTCCACATTTATTCACGGTAGTAACTTCTTTGTTTGAAGTGCAGTGAGTGAGATTGTGGACATCAAAGGACTCGAGCTTGACCTTGAAGAAAAGTTGTGTGCTTTGTTAAAAGTTGTAATAACATTCTTGGCCGTTTAACCTTTTTCCTTGAGAGGGGTTTCTATTTCCGCGGAGGTTATGTCGGAATCCAATTCCGTTAAATCCATTTGTAGGCCCTTGCTGGTTTTAAGTTGGTATGTGTAGTAGTTTTTCTTAGCCTTTTCCAAATATTTGGAAACGGTTTGGTAGTACTCTTTAGTCTTTGTTTGTAACTTTGCTTCATGGATATTTTCCCCGTCCCCTGCATTTGGTTTGGCGTGAACCGAATATCCATCTGCATCTTTGGGCATAAGTATCTAGCCGGCTTACCTTCCCCTTTTTCAATTAATGACTTCCGGAAAAGTGCGTCTGCGACTCTACTTATCCGGTAAAAGAGTCGTAGCAGTTCAAAATCCCATCTCGCTTTCTCCCGACCTGGCGCTCGTTGTTGTTTATCAATTTAAGTGCCATGTGCTTTGGGATCAAGTGAAACACCCAGGTAGATCCTCATCAGCCTAATCGCTCATTTTATGGCAAGGCACGTCTCAGTTGCCAAGTAAATATTTTCTTCGCTCAGGATCGAAGGACGACTCTCTTTACAAAATCTGGGTCTACAAGTACTAGTCCAAGTTGAGTGTTTTTAAACCCCTTCTGGAGTGTGGCCGTTCATTTCCATTTTGTCTTTGCAATTCATGTTCGGCATCGCGTACCATGATTACATAAAATAATTACCTTTTCTTCTGTCCTCTCTCTTCTCTTTTTACTACATTTAAAGTGGAGAAAGGAAATGTCAGCCTCCTGAAACCTTTCTTTTAGTTCTCCATATGCTCCTCACTTGTGCGTATGATCACAAAATGTCATCATGGTACGCGAACACTGAAAGCAGTGTAATCTTCCTGCACGGTAGCGCGGCTTGACACACCCTTTTCCAAAAGCTCTTGTCATAGTAATCCTTTATGGCCTGCTTACGTTTGTAGTTCCCCTTTTTAAAACCTCTTATAATATTTTTTTTCCCAATATTCCAGCCACAGCTATCACTGGTATTTCTATTGCCTGGTATTGGTCTTGCCGAACTGTCCGAGGATATTTTATACCTAGCACCATAGGATTCTATGCCTTGCATCATCACTAGGTTCGGTCTTTTCTTCTTGTCGCCGAAACTTAGCTTGTCTGGAGACACCACACGTGTTTCCGTGTAGTCCCTACAGCTTCACCAGTCTTCTATACGCTACGCGTTTTTCGGCGATGTCCGAGTTTTCTGCTAACTTCTCAGAGATTTAACTTGTTGTTGCTCTTGTGTCTATCATGGCCCTTATGGCCCATCTAACTGCTTCTACCACCTCGACGACTTCTGCACCCGACGACTTCCTCACTGGCCATGCCTCCACACCTGTGGCATGCCTGCGTTGGGTTTTTGACATCCATCCTTTTCTTTTGGTGACCTGTTGCTGCGTCAAACCTTGGTGCGGTTTCTCTTTTTGCCACTTGGATGCCCATCTCTTGTGTTGTGGCCCTGAGTGGGCGGCTTGTAGTCTTCCCCAATGGCCTTATTAAAGACCGAAGTTCCACCATGTAAACCTTAAAAGGCTTCTCTTGTCACTACTTCCGCTGACCTGAACCAGGTTCAAAATATCCTTTTGGTAGAAAAAAGTTTCAAAACTCCTCCTGAATTGTTTTTACGTTAGCCACTCCTCATCGTTCATTATGGACCACCTGAACTAGCTCTGGCATCGATTGTATTTTTGTCTAAATCGTGCGTTTTTCGGAACATACCACTGCCTTCTGCCGCGCGGCCCAAACTTCTCCTTTTCTACTTTCGCTTTCCCTCCATCCTCCCGTACCGACCACTGTTATACCTCTCTTGATTGACTCACCTCTTTAACTCCTATGGGGTACATATCTATTTATCAATATGGATGAAGTTGCATTAGGTCCCAGTATGCAACTTTAAAAGAATTGAAACCATACATTTATACAATACTTTATTTTATTTCTATAGGAATTACATATTCTATAATACTTATATATGAAATTCTGGCTTAAACGCGTTCTTTAATTTTTCCCAGTAAAGTATTTTGTAATCTGTAAGTAAAAAAAAAAGATTTTGTTATAATATAATAAATGTAGTAGTTATGTAGTATTTTATATTCAAACGCACCTTTTTTTGTCAGGCATTTACTTTTATACCAGGTGTTGGCAGAGCCCTATTTCAGGGGCATAGGAAATATCTCTTCCCGAGCTCTGCCGCACACACACAGTATAAACGTATGAAACGTCATGCTTGCGACCTACTTTCTGCTATTCGTTACTAATAATAATGAATTTAAATCACATGAATGCATGAAGTACCCACCACTAATTTATACCTTTGCTGAAAGATTAATAATTTATGTTAGAAGTAAGCAACTCAGTGAATGATTTTCGCAGAACTGTTAAGAGATGGTGGAGTAACATGGCAACCGCCTCATATGGGTGCCGGACATCGGGACCATGAAGGAAATTTCGCCGACGAAATAGCAAGGGCAGGTACTACTAACCCTCTCCTCCCGAAGAAAGAACAATTAGGCATTGCAACGTGAACGTAACGTAAAGAAACGAAGTTGGCAGGACTGCAGTCAAGCGATGAATGCCATCACGGGACACTGGTTAATTGGAACGCACGCGGCTAGACAACCAGTGCCCCGCTACGATTTCTTCAGGAGCTGCAGGGAGGTGGAGGAAAGAAGACAGTCACACACTTCCTGTGCCACAGGTGAAGTGACTTAACTTCAGCACTTCAGGTGACTTCAGTGACAGGCACTTCCTGTGACTCCAAATCCTGGGTGCAGCTTCATCCGGAAATCTGGATGGGACCGCGAACCGCCTCAGGAAGAGTAGACTTCTTTGGGCACTTAAGTAGATAGGAAGAAGTGGGGTCCTGCAGCTGCAGCAAATTTCACTGAGCTGGACCGATTTGGGCGATATATTTTTGTATATCCGTTACTTATCTCATAATGAGTTAAAAACTGCCTAAGGATATATTAACTTAGGATCCGTCCAAAGCAAGCTCTCCATTATAGTTAGAACTACTTTTTACCAGTAGTTTTTACCTACCTGTAGGTGTAGATTAGCCATTGGAATACTTTGGCATTAAAACATTTTACAAAAACTTGTTTGAACTTACGCTACAACGAAGTTTCAGTTTTGGGGTGGTATTGGGCGAGGCTTTTCACTTAAACTTGATTTGTGCAAATACCATACGACTCACAGTTCCAATTCGGATAGTTTCATCTCCTACATTATTCAAGATCTATGCGTTCGGAATTCGTACCACAGTAAAAATACCACAGTTGGGTCATTTCGGATAGTTCAGTTATATGGCAAATTAGGATATACTCGACCGATCGTTTTACAATTTGTTATAGTGTCAAGCATAGGCAATTTATGAGCGACAAAAAAAATGTCTCCTTTAATGCGTTGCACACTTCTGAAAAAAATAGAATAGCCTCGCGTAGAAACGGACAGTTTCTCACGCGTAGTCTCTCAGTTTTAAAGCTATCGTCTTGAAACTTTGCACACACCCTTCTTTCCTTTGCACGCAGTATATAAGTCGGAACGGCCGGGATCGGCCGACTATATCCTATAGCTGCCATATAACTGATTGATCGGAAATGGTATAACTTTGGTGTTTTTAAAGTTAGAGAGTTCAAATTTTGAGAGCTATCTTTGGCAAAAAATTACTACATGCCAAATCTCATAAGGATCGGCCGACTATATCTTATAGGTGCCATATAACTGAACGATCGGAAATGACCCAACTTTCGTGTTTTTGAAGATAGAAAACTGGAACTTGGTACAGATTCTAGTTTTGGTCACTTCATCCAACCTAAGGATCGGCCAACTATATCCGATGTTTGCGATATGTATCCGGTTTTTACTGCAAGGGTATATCAACTTTGGCTCCGCCCGAAGTTAGCTTTCCTTTCTTGTTTTTATTTTAACATAGTAAGCGTTGAATAGTGCGAGTGAAACGGCTATACAGTACTTTGATTAACCCTTACACGGAGCATGGGTCTAAAAGTTTTTCTTAGTTATGACAAGAGTTGTAGTGTTTATAATTTTATTTTAATAAGTTTAGAGTTTGACTTTATTCTTTGTTTTTGTTTTTGGACAGCCATTCTTTTGTTTAAGTTCTGCGCCTGATATCGACTTCCACTGTGAAGCACTGAAATGCGTATCGCAAATTTGAGAGCTCTCAATAAAGGTACAGCCCAAAGACTGCTCCCCCAAAGCTCTTTTTTCAATACACTTTGGAACATGCACAAAATTATATAATTGTATCATGGTTGAGCTTCCTATCCTTTTCCGTAGCCGGCAAATTTCCCAGTTTTAATAAAATAATCACAGCGTTCAATTAAATTCCTTAATTGAATTTTATTTCCGCAGCTTCTCACGCTTTAGCGTCCAAATGCATTGTAAAAGGGGATAGCACGCCTAGGCGAGACAAGGTCAAACGCACATGAGCATAGCTCAAAGAGACACTGCATACTGCTCTTCCGGACGGTACAGATAAAACTACATCGATAAGAGACGAGCCGACCAGAGACCCGCAATATATAAAATAAAACAACAGACTAATAAGATGAATAAAGTGATTAAAATACACTTTTTCTGCGCCCATGCAAAGCAAAAAAAAAATATTTCAGATATTTTGATGAATGAATAAGCTAGACACGACATTTTTGTGTGCGGCGCAGGTGATTCACAAAATTCTATGGTACCTGTTTGGTCATTGAGCGTTTTCAATGCCGTAAATAAAAAATCAGAATTTAATTAGGTTCAACGTTATAACTTTATTCAGGCCGCATATGAAATTAGGATTTATGAGGATTTATGTACAATATTTGAAATCCAATTTGGGATGCGAGCGCAGTAAGGAGATGAACGAGAGTGGCACCAAACTTCCAGAATAGGCTGTGCGGATGCTCGCTAACTATAAACGCCGAAGTAGCAAAGCCGAGCGGCCGAAAGAGAGTCGGCTTGCGACCAGCAAAACATCAGTTACTAATTAATTGTTGTGTATAAATTAGTTGCTTGCTGCTTGACCCGACAGTACCGATCTAGCTGAAATTTGGATATGTTGTTCTAAAAAGTAACACCTCTGTCCCGTACTAGAATCATTTATTTTTAATAATTATTTTTTTTTTATCATAAGATAAATTTTTTAAATTAAAAAAAATTTTTTTTTTTGTGAGTTCGTTATTTTGTTGTTTGTTTTTTTTATTGATGAAAATATTTCATTCTAGTACGGGACAGAGCCGTAACAAACAGGGACAGAGCCATAGCTTACAAAACAATAATCTATTCTAATTTTTTGTTTCGGATGACTCTAGCAGTCGAAATCACCTGCACCAGGGACCTACCTTTTTTTATATGCATACTTTGGCATGCTATAAAGTGTATTAAACTACACAAGAATAAATTAAACAAAATATTTTAAAATAGTTTATGATGCTTATAAAAACATATGTGAAAATTGAAATGATCGCATTATTTTTTATTACAAAAAAAATTTTTTGAAATAACCTCTAAAAAGTAGGCCGGAACATGAGACTACATCCCTAATTGGGATAAAAAGAAACAGATTATAGAGTTTTGTTGAACAAGGATGCTGGCCAAAACAAAGCAATCGAGCAACTGGCGTTATTTGCTTTGCATATAACTTCACTGCCACGGTCGAATGCTGCGGTTGAGAGGGTATTCAGCCAAATGAACATCGTAAAAACAAAGTTGCGCAACAAAATGTGTTTTAAAAGCATGCACTTTGTTTTTAGGTTGCTTGCAATAATAAGGTTTGTTTTTGAAATTTTAAATTATTTAAAATATACTAAGTATTTTTATTTTAATGTTCTAGATATGGACAGCGACGTCATGGCAATGTTGTAATGACTACCAACTTCCAACGAAATACCTCGCTTTAGTTCAATCATCCGCCAAGTATATGGAATCTAATGATGAAGTTGATGAAAATTGTTCTTTAATAATAGTTATATAAATATCATTTCAATATCGTACCATTAAAAGTAAAAAATCAACTATTTTAATGATTTCCATGGTTAGCTTACTTTTAGATTTTTTTTTTTAATTTTTTGCTTATTCTAGCTTATTTTTTTCTTCAATCTAGCTTATTTTATCTCTCAAAACCTGAAAGCACTGATGCTCATATCAACTTAGGAGGTGATCCTGATCAAGAATATATATACTCTAAAGGATCGGAGATGTGTCATTCTCTGCGTTGCTTACTTTTGGACTAAATTATGATACTCTCAGAGATGATAGAAAAACAATTTTATAAAATATCTGGGTTTATTCATAGAAATATTGAGTTTGGAAGCGCAAAAAAATGGAACCTTTTTATTTAAGCGATTTACGTGAAATTATATCATTCTCATAACTTTTAATATGTTATCTCATAACAAAAAATGACAACTAATTTATTAAAAGGGTTGTACAAATTTATTTTTATTTCTGCTCTATCAAACATATCAATGGCAGAACAAAGGCAGAAAATACTACTTTTTTAGTTTTTTTCAGCCAGTGTTTAGTTTATGGAGTAAATTTAAAAATTTAAAAAATAAAATTAATATAAATCAAAACTTTATCTTTTAAATTTTATTATGTTTTATTTGGAAATAAAACGTATACTTTAATATTCGATGGAATTACCAAAAATGTAGGCAAACAAAAAAAAAATTTTTTTTTAACTATTCCAAGGTAACAAAAATTTTTTAAAATTATTTCTTAATAGCTTAGTATTTAACGTATTCAAAAATAATTTTTTTTTGGTTCTTAAGTATTTAGTTTGTCTTCCTCGAGTTTTCAATACAGCCTTTATTCTTGATGGCATAAAATCTACCAAGTGGTCGTTAGTTTTCTTAATTATGTCTTTATAACAGACACTTTCCACTATTAAATTAAATTCTCTTATTTCTTTATGTTTCTTTTTGTGTATTTTAACTTTTAAAATAGGAAAACGATATTGAATCGGATAAAAATCATGACTTCTGCCTGGCCAGTCTAATGTTGATACTCGATTTTTCTGC